CCTGTTCCTTGTTTGGTTGTAGGCTTAGAGCAGATTCACCCAGCCTATTATCCATTCGATATTAGTTATATATATATATATATATATATATATATATATATATGTTATGTATACATTAAGTCATCATAAGGGGTACCAGGTATGGGTCAGGTCATAGGATACTAATTCAATGCACAGTTTTCTAGTACAAAACATACTTTTTAAAACAGAACTTTTCATATACGAAACTAGAAACTTACCAGAAAGTGTTTAATCCATTTTATTAAACCATCATTTTAAAGGACCTTAGGTAGTTAACTCTACAATACCTTAGTTTATACATCAAAGGTTATATATAATTAATATCCAATAGGTAGTTGGATATGTGCCTTCCGCCTCATTCCCTGTTCCTTGTTTGGTTGTGGGCTTAGGGCAGATTCATACAGTTAACTATCTGTTCGATATTAGATTATATATAGCTAGTATAAACTAAGCGATTATAGAAGGAACCACTGTGGTTACTATTTTATTATAAGAAATAAGGGTTTTCTTAAAGAATCTTTTCATAAATTATAAAGGAACTATTACAGTTAACTCCATGAGTACCAAGGGAATACACTAGGGTTTTATACAACAAGGATCTAACAACCAATGGGATGTGTGTCATCCACTTCATTTTTACTTATCTTTCATCAAAGCAGGAAATATAGGATTTTTTGGAGGAACAGACGAACTTTTCTAAAACAAAACTTACAAATAACTACAACTTACTAAGCTTTCTACAACATACTTACATCATTAAAATCTTATGAACTCACCAGCTTAATTGTTGATAAACTCTTTCGAATAACTTGTATTCTCGAGAAACTAGTAGACAGGTACTTGCATTGGGAATTCAGAAGATAGAGCAGTATAACTTCAAGTCTTATTTGTTATTTGCTTATATATTCTATGTTTTGTGAATGCACACTTTGTAAACAGTTTCTTTCTAATGAAATGGTTATTTATTTACTTTGATTACTATGATGCATGTCTTGTGATACTAAACATGACGTATTTCACCCCCGAACGTTTCCGTCGTTCTGGTTTTGGGGTGTGACAAGTACTCATAAGTCCTAAGTATTGGATTAAATCCATGCTCACTTGTATCACTTCATGGAATTTATCTCGAGTGATCGTGAGACGGTAATATCATATAAGTCTTCAAACCTAGAGATATGAGTTGTTGACTATGAGTTGGTTGTACACTGATTGCACGAAAATGCATCAACAACTTGATGTTATTAAATGTGCCTTTTTGTATGATTCAACAAGTAGTTAGTACAAGAATATGAGTCAAAGTTTATCTATTCCTTTTATTCCTTAGAGGATTAGAAGTGATATTTGAGCCCCTCGATGATTTTGTTTTGACCTATGTGTCGGGCCCGGTCAGAACCAAATTAATGTGTTCAGTTTCGTTCTATGTCAAACAAATCGTAAAATAGGGAAACAAACTGCTAGACAATAAGTATGACGTTGTTCCCTGTATTTGTCTAGCTGATATCTTGAGAACAGAGGATTCTATGATCACTTATCTAAAATAGCACTTCATAGCTGAAAAGAGTTATAAGAGCTATAATTGTTGGTCGATTCCCGAAGTCATACTTGCAACTATAGTTATCAGACTTATCCAAGTGGGAGACTGTTGGATAAGGTGTCTAAGTCCGTAACTATATTTGGTATGTACTTGACCCGACTCGGCATGGTCCATTTGGGTTACACTTCACCAGAACAATTTGTATGGATAGTCTTTTGAGAATAGTATATTTATGATTTATTAATATATTATAAGCTATAATATATTAATATGAAATCATATTATTTAATTAGTATTGATCAAGAAGTAATTTGGAATTAATTTAGTGATAAAAAAGAAACTAATTAAATATGGACTTATATATATATATATATATATATATATATATATATATATATATATATATATATATATATATATATATAGGATCCATGTTCATCTAGGATGGGCTAAGCTTGCATGGAAGTCCATGGATAATCCATGGAGCTTTTAACCTATGGATCCTATGGAAATGAAAGGTCATGGGTGTTAGGGTTTACATGGATGAAACCCTAATCCACCATACTGTATAAAGATGTCTTCCGCACTAATGTGTAAGAACAAGGGTGGGCCGATTCCTAGAGTGCTTCACATTCTCTCAAAGTCTTCCAAGTTGTTTTTGGTGATTTGTGATTCCACTTGAGGCATTCACATTATTGGTGCTAGGCTCTAGAAGCTCCAAGCAATCAACCACAAGAAAAGATAATTCATTCTACTAGTTTTTATATTACAAGTACCCCATGATATGCTAGTTAGGATGAGAACCTTGGAAAAACCAAATTTGCATGTATAATAGAGAAAACATAGATGCAAGGTTTCTAGGGTTGCATGTAAACCATAAGAGTGTTAGAATGCTCAAACCCCATCACTTACCATAACTAAAAAGACTAAATTACCCTTCTTTATTTCCGTTTTTAGGTTTATATCGATCGGATATACTTCAAGTATAATAAACAAGAACAAACTAACTAAGCAAATAAAAAACAGATAAACTAAAGGGCACGAAATATTCACTATGTCTTTCACCAAAAAAGGGTTTATTTTCACCAAGAAAACAGGTTGTCACAAAGATGGTCATCAAGACGTTAACATTAGGATTTCACCATAATGTTGGATATATACTAAACTATATTAGTATATCCTTTCAATCAATGGATTGTATCTAAACTATACTAATAACTGATCATTATCACCAAGATATCGGATCCGTTATATATATATATATATATATATATATATATATATATATATATATAATTACCTAATATACAAACATTACATTACATTACTTAACTACACATTGACGATGATAATGTCTTGAGACGTTGGCGCTGATGCTAATATTGGCGTTGGCGCTGGTAGTCAGCGTATAGAATGTTTGACTCACCAAATCATAAGGTGTGACCTTACATTTTTTATTTCTTTATTCTTTATTTATTAAAAAGTGTTTAGTAAATAAGGTAGGTCTCACTCCCACTCCTTTCCGTCACCTTGCCCTAAAAGCTATACATTGCAACTATAAGAAAATGTGTTTCATTTGCGGTATGGTTATTTTTGCCTCACCGAAAAATGTTGTAGGCGACCGACCCCTTACATCCACTTTTACCAACCACTTTTTCATCATTCATCGTATTTCCATCTCCACTGAAGTAGAGGAACAAAGGAGAGAAAATCATCACCACTAGTACACCTGACTAAATCACCTCCACCTTTATTATTGAAAAAAATAACACCCCATCAAATTAAGGAATCCATTCGAACCAAAAATCCAAACAAGCAATTCAGAACCAGATATTCAAATCATAAAGCAAATCCTAAATCAATCCATTAAAATAAAATAATCAATCTATTCATAAAGCAAATCCTAAATCAATCCATTAAAATAAAATAATCAATCTATTCAAACAAGAAATCAAACCCCATTGAACCTGTGACTCAAATCTTAATACAAAATTGAGTCTTCAGTTTTTTTTTTTTTTTGGTGTTGAAAGCGGTCAGAGAGGCGGAGGTACATAGTCATCGTTACGTTGGGGTCGTTCGTCAGAAAGTAGCAGTAGTCATCGGAAAACTGATGTAAGGGTTTAGGGAAGGTGAGAACATAAATGAGAGGGTCGATGGGGATAAAAAAAATAATGGATTGGAGGGGGATTTTTTTTATTTCTTTATTTAAATAAGAATGATAAATAATTAATCAAAAATTAAATAAGAAATTATTAACAGTAAAGTAGTCATTTGACATTTGGTAGGGATAAGATGTGTAACAAAATACATTCTAGAGACCTTCTGAATTTAAAAATAAATAAATAAATATATAAATAATTTAATAAAACCTTAGGGACCAAACATGTAGATTATCCAAAACTACATAGACTATTCGTATAATTTGCTCTAAAAATTAACCAACAAGTTTGTCTGGAATTTTATGAAGCAACACTTTCATTTACTTTTGGTGAACAATGTCTTTGTTGTTTAATTGAGATCTACTCAAATCAGACAAAATTGTTCGATCTAATAAAAAAAGATACCAAATGGCTTCTAGCCTAATAATATCATCACTCTTTGAGGTCGAGTGTTCAAATCTCTTCTAAGACATAAGTAAATTAATGAGTAGTTTAGTAGTATGTTAGATTAGTCGTTCAAAAATCATATCAAAAGATGATATTGATAACAAGAAACACAAAAAATTGTGTCTATTGACATGGTTGAGTATCGATTGACACAATCATTTATTGTTTAGATTAGTTTATGATTATGTTAGATTTTTCGTTCAAAAAATCATATCAAAAGGCATATTTACAACAAGAAACACAAAAATTTACATCTAGAAGCATGTTTGCATATCGATTGACATTTATTGCTTTGGATCTTATCTGGTTCATACTTCATAAAATCCTACTTGATCCATCTCCCAATAAAACTCTTTTGTCAAATAAATAAATAAGTGGTTTAAAATGACACATTTGTCCATTTAAATGATTTGTTTCTATAATCAATTGTCAAACATAGACTTTGATATGTTAACAACTTCATTTACCTCTCAATTCATGTATATTAATAATTTAATGTCCAAACTGTATGACAAGAGGTGTTTAACTTTTTAATTCTAATAATTAGTGGTTTTGATTTGACACTTATGTGTAGGGTAACATGCAAGTGCACATTCATAATGATTTAGCTCGAATATTATCTTTTGTGCATGTCATACAAGTGATAGGCATAACTTTTTGTTTCTCGTATAAATATGTGTTATGTAAATGATACATGTACTAACAATAACCATTAAAAGATGGATAGAAAAATGTCACACTACCTATTGTTGTTGTTTAAATTTCTATTAAAATCACTAAGTTACCCACACAGTCATCAAAGGAAGAACAGGAGCCTAAAGTATTTGAAATATGAAACCATGGCCGAGAAGCACACATCAGAAGAACTACTAAAAACAACTCTTGTGTTTGATGTGGAAGGAGTGGTATTAAGGTCAACTTCACTCTTTCCTTACTTCATGCTTGTGGCATTTGAAGGTGGTGGTGTCTTGAGAGGTTTAGTGTTGTTCTTATTTTACCCTTTGGTTTGTTTGCTTAGCAAGGATATAGGGTTAAAGATTATGGTGTTTATATGCTTCTTTGGGATAAAAAAGGACAAGTTTTCGATTGGAAGAACCGTTTTGCCAAAATTCTTTTTGGAGGATTTATGGTTTGAAGGGTTTCAGGAAGTGATGAGGTGTGGAAGAAAGGTGGGCTTGAGTGAATTGCCTATGGTTATGGTTGAAGTATTTTTGAAGGATTATTTGAGTGTTGATCTTGTTCTTGGGAGAGATTTAAAAGTAGTTTGTGGGTATTTTGTGGGATTGATGAAGGAGGTGTCATCAATAAGATCAAATTTATTGATAAACGATGTGTTTGGAGAGAGAAAATGTGATAGTAATCTCATTGGTTTAAGGTGCTCCAACAAAATTCATGATCATCATATTTTCTCTCATTGCACGGTATGAAATCTCTCTCTCTCTCTCTCTCTCTCTCTCTCATTAGTCCTTTTATCTAATCGATGATATGAGATTTTTAGAGCACCAACAATCGGTTGAACTCCATATACTTCAATCGGTTTTCACATCACATTAAAAAAAATATTCAAATTTCCTTTTAACAACGAGAACGTATTAAATATTTATTTAATTTTATTAATAACTAAATTCTTTATACCGAAGCATATGATGAATCAACTCCACTCAATATCATCACTCGTACTACATTAAACACCTAATTATTTCCAACTGTTATCTTATTTAAATCCTATACTGATTTCCTAAACAATCAGTATTGTGGATAAATGTATGGCCTTTCCATTTCTATTAGGCCTTATGTTATATAAAGCAACCCCATCTTAGACACATATAGCTAAAAAAAAATATATAAGCATATATATATATATATATATATATATATATATATATATATATATATAT